CTCTATTATCTTCGGAGCAGCTGCAAAAGTTTCCGGCGAAGTTGCAAAGACATTCATTGATTTCTTCAAAGCCCTTTCTGCAATTGTCACCAAAATAATGTCGGTGTTTCTTCTGTAGGTTTATTAATTTTACTTAGTTGACTTTATGCTTCCACTTAACAGAATTCAGAAAAGAGTTTTGACGAACACAGTGATTCCGACAATACCTAACAGCTGATGTTCATTTCTATCGTAAACTGTTACCACTTCTGAAGATGAAATTTCCACCTCCCTCTAGTGTCACCCCAGTGGCTGTGTGCTTCATGATTGCCAGCTCGGTGGTTGGGCGGAAGAACATCGAATCGGACTTCGTTCAATTGGGCCTATTCGTGGTCACGGTGCTCACGGCTCTTGCAATTCACTTCATCTTAATTATACTAGTCTTTTTCATTTCCAGTCGCAAAAATCCTCTTCGATTGCTTAAGTACTCTGGACCTGCATACATTCTTGCTTTCGCAACCACTAGCCCGTACGTCTTCTTGAAGTATTTCATCACTTACCCTTCACTGTTGTTTATCCATTTATTTCTTGAAGTACGATGACAGCTTCACTTTGCTTTTTTCGAACAATAAAGTTTCTTACATGTTACGATGATTTGAACACCCTAGCGGCTCATTTTTGTTCCCCTTTTGTCAGAGCCCTTGCCTTGCCAGAGACATACATGGGTTTGGACAAGTACGGTGTTCGTCAGAGCGTATCTAGACTACTATGCCCATTGGCAGCAACGCTCAAAGGCGATGGACCCGCAGCTTTTATTGCCGCGTCGGTCATTTTTGTAGCTCAGAACTCCCGCATAGAGCTCAATATCGGACAGATATTCACCATCCTGTAAGCCTTCGTACACTTTTTTCTCCCTTCTAGCACGCCTCTCTTATAAAAATGTCACTTTTGAGGTGATCATGATTCCAAGATCAAACAGATATGCAAATACTCCACAGAAATAAGCTTTAAGAAATATCTCACAAAAGTGTAAATTACTTACAGAAGGTTTTCTCCCGTCAGCTTTGCATTTTTCTACAGGTTGATAGCAATTAACCATATGTCCTGAATGAATTTGAACACCACTTAAACTGTATATTTTCGGTTTCTTTTGAAGGATCCTCACATTCACCTCTTCTCTCGCAACGCCAAATATTCCAAGCGCGAGCATTGTGCTTATTGTGACTATCTTATCTTCGATAGGCGTGCCCACAGAAGGAGCCGGTCTCCTCTTTGCAATGGAATGGTTGATGTAGGTTTAATAACTACTATTTT